ACTCTGAAAACTATAAAACATTGACAAAAGAAACTGAATATGACACAAACAAGGGGAAAGATATTCCGTGTTCGTGGGTTGGAGGAACAAATATTGTTAAAATGTCCATATTACCCAAAGCAATCTACAGATTCAGTGCAATCACTATCAAAATACCAACAGCATTTTTTACAGAACTAGAATAAATAACACTAAAATTTGTATGTAACCATGAAAGACTGCAAACTGTCAAAGCAATGTTGAAAAAGAACAAAACAGTAGGTATCAACAATACCAGATTTCATGATATGCTACAAACCTGTAGTAATAAAAATAATATGGTAATGGCACACAAATAGACACAGAGATCAATAGAACAGAATAGAGATACTTGACATAAATCCGTGATTATATGGTCAGTTAATCTATATCAAAGGAGGCAAGAATATACAATGGGGAAAAGACAGTCTCTTCAATAACTGGTGCTGGGAAAACTGGACCGCCACATGCAAAGAATGAAACTGGGCCACTTTCTTACACCATACCCAAAAATTAACCGAAATGGATTCAAGACCTAAATGTGAGACTTGAAACCATAAAACCCCTAGAAGAAAACAGGGTAGGAATCTCTCTCTCTCTCTCTCTCTCTCTCTCTCTCTCTCTCTCTCCCTCTCAGTAGGAAACTCTTTGACATCAGTCTTAGCAAGTTTTTTCTAGATATGTCTCCTCAGGCAAGGGGAACAAAGGCAAAAAAATAAACAACTGAGATCACACCAAAATAAAAAGCTTTTACACAATGAATGAAACCAGTCACAAAATGGAAAGGCAACCCACTAAATGGGAGAAGACACTTGCAAATGATTTTTGAATAAGGGGTTATATTACAAATATATAAAGAACTTATACACCCCAACACCAAAAAAACAAGTAACCAAATTTAAAAATGGGCAGAGGATTTGAGTACACATTTTTCCAAAAATATATCCAGATGGCCTACAGACACATAAAAAAAATGCTCAAAATCACTAGTCATCAGGGAAATGCAAATCAAAACCACAATGAGGGGCACCTGGGTGGCTCAGTCAGTTGAGACTTCTGCTCAGGTCATGATCTCATGGTTCATGGGTTCAAGCCCCAGGTCGGGCTCTGTGCTAACAGCTTGGAGCCTCCTGCCTGCTTTGGATTCTGTACCTCCCTCTCTCTGCCCCTCCCCCACTTGCACACTGTCTCTCTCTCTCTCTCTCTCTCAAAAATAAAATAAACATTAAAAAAAACACACGATGAGATAACACCTTACAATAGTCAGAATGGCTAGAATCAAAAAGATAAAAAAGATAGCAATATTGGTGAGGATGTGGAGAAAAAGGAACCCTCTTGCACTGATGGTGGGAATGTAAATTTCCATAGCCTCTGTGGAAAACAGTAAGGAAGTCCCTCAAAAACTTAAATATAGACAAACCATATGATCTAGTAATTCCACATCTAGGTAATACCCAAGGAAAATACAAACGAATTCGAAAAGATATCTGCATCCTTATATTTATTGCAGTGTATTCACAATAGTTAAGATATGGAAGCAAATGAAGAGGAATACAACGGAATATGACTCAGCCTATAAAAAGGATTTGTGAGACTGTGCCATTTGTGACAACGTGGATGGCCCTAGAGGGTATTACGCTGAGTGCAATCAACAAAAGAAATGAAAATTCCATATGATTTCATTTATATGTAAAATCTAAAAAGCAAAAAAAAAAATGAATAAAGAAACAAAGAACAAACAAAACCAAGTTAACTCCAAACCAAGTTAAACTAGTGGTTTCCAGGGGCGCCTGGGTGGCGCAGTCGGTTAAGTGTCCGACTTCAACCAGGTCACGATCTCGCGGTCCGTGAGTTCGAGCCCCGCGTCAGGCTCTGGGCTGATGGCTCAGAGCCTGGAGCCTGTTTCCGATTCTGTGTCTCCCTCTCTCTCTGCCCCTCCCCCGTTCATGCTCTGTCTCTCTCTGTCCCAAAAATAAATAAACTTTGAAAAAAAAATTAAAAAAAAAAAAAAAAAAAACTAGTGGTTTCCAGAGAGGCAGTGGATGGGTGGATGGGTGACATAGGTAAAGGGAATTATGAAGCACAAACTCCCAGTTCTAACATAAATAAGTCTAGGCGATGAAAAGTACAGCATAGGAAATATTGTCAATAATATTGTAGTAATATTATATGGTGACAGATAGTGACTGACATTTATTGTGGTGAGCATTGAGTAATATACAGAAGTGTTGAATCAGTATGTTGTACCCCTGAAACTAATAGTATGTTCATTATCCTTTTAAAAAACAGTACACTGGTATAAAGTGAGAATTTAGTTTCCTCTCTGTTAAAGTGATAAAATTTTCTTGGATTATTGATATACTCTTGATAAGAGATAATAAAAGGTGTGTGTATAGTTTTCTTTTTTTACCCAGATTACATAATCTGCCTAGAAAACAGAGATTCTATCTTATCAAAATAATTTTCTGTATTTCATGTTGTCTTTATCAAGTCTTCAATTCCTTGAAAGAGCTGAGTCTTCTCTACTAGAAGAGCTAAGATATTTTTAGAACTATTTAACCTTCTGTATTTGTGTATTTAACCCTCACTATTTAACCTTGTGAAATCTTTGTCACTATGGTTAAGTGGATAACTATTTATTGTTTCACAGAGACCTATGATCCTCTTTGACCAAGTGTTTTTAAATCTTTTGATATTTTTCAGAAACCTCCCAAAAATCAAATCCTAAATTAAGCCGTTTTGACCTTGAACCAACTTTGGGGATATTTTAAGAGGGTCCTGGGATATCTCAAAAGATTTGTTCTCTCCCCTTATTGAAAGAGAGATGTTAAAGTAATTAAGTGTATTTGATAGGTTAAATTACATGAGAAACATTGTGAAATAAGAAGTAATATTAAGCCTTTTTTATATTATATTCATATGGATATATATTATAAATGTTCTAGAAATTGATTAAATTCCTAGAAATTTGATATACCCTAGTATAATTTTATCAGTCATAATTCCATGTATTATTTTAAAATGTATATTACAGAAATAACCAAACTTCCTTATAAATTCCATTATAATGAACTCTCATCAGATCTTTAACCATGGAAAATTTTGAAGACTTTTATCATTCACAGAGAGTTATTATTTACTCTGATATTTTTGTAGGAGTGAGACTCATAGAAAAGGCCTTATCAAGTGCTCCTGACCATTGACACTTCTGTAAAACTAGATCTCAAATACACATCTCAAAGCTGAAAAAGGCTCCAACACCTGATATCTGTTCCTGTAGAAATGCTAGAGATTTCCAAATCAAATTGACTAGGAAAAGAAATAGCCTACATTGTGATAAACTGCTTCCACCCAAGATGCCACACCGAAGCTGCATGCTTTAACTAAACATGAAACCCTTCCTTCTTCTCTTTCCTTCCTATACTCTGGCATTGGCCTGGAAAGATAACACCATCATCTATATCTCTCAGGCCCTTGCTAAATGGCGGGGGGAGGGGAGACAGAAACCTTTCAGACTGCTAGATTTGTCCTCAAAATCCATGATGCTAAAGACCCTGTGATCCTCCCTCCAACCAATTTTTCTTCTATTCTCAATTGACACCCCCCCCACCACCACCAGTTAGGAGTGCACTTACAAAGTCCAACTTTTATGGCCAGAATATCCAGTATCCCATTTTTACCTTTCTCCAGTTGTAACTGTACTTTGCTCAGTTAAACACAAATACCTATGCAAATCATAGTACATTTTCACCCCTACATTCTTATGATTATGTAAATCAGATCTGCCCCAATCACAAAAAGATCTCACTAAAAGTATGCATCTTTGCAAAGCCAAAGTTGTACTTGATCATATGATAGCCTTTTATTATCTTTTAGCTGAACAAGGAGGTGCCTTTGCTGTGGCCAACACCACTTGAACCTGGATAACATTTCTGGGAAGTTGAAACTCAGATACACGAAACCACTGAACAAGCCACTTGGCTTTAGAAAGTGACTCCTTCAACCTGGTCTTTCTTTGACTTATTTGATTTTGATTGGTTTGGGCCTTGGAGACCATGGTTCCAAAGTGCACACCAGATATGGGGGATTATTCTGCTTATAATAATCACAGTAGTCTCCCTGGTGCACTGTATTCCTTCAAAAGCTTGAAATGCATTTTCATGGCTGCTAAACAAGCAAATGATCTCACTAAGACTAGAACACAGAAAAAGAATGAAGAAAATGACCAATTTAAGAAATGTGAACCTAAAGTTGTGTCCTATAAATACCACAGAGATTCAACAAAAAGCATTATGACCTGTGAATACCACACAGAAGATGAACAAAAATTGTGGGAGCTTCAGAGCAGTAGCTGGGAGAGGTGCTAATGCCTTAAATTTTTATCACATCTCTCAATTAAGATGAGAGTCTGATCAAAACAGGGGAATTGTTAAAGAGAGAGGGAGAGAGAGAGAGACAACAGGTCCAAAATAGAGTCACTTGTGCTAAGCCCACATCACCAAACTAAGGCTTAATTCCTAGGTTAACTAAAGTTTCAATCTCTCCCAGGAGCAGAATCTTAAACTAGTCAATCTGGAATTACCTGATTAGCAGTAGTGAGACCACTGCTATTCCTCAAAGGAAGGTGACCTTGCCCCAGACAATCTCCTTTTTGCTGGCAACTTCCTTGTTTTGGCTCCTTCCGCCTATAAAAGTCTCTCATTTTTGTACACTTCTTCAAACATCCTTTCTATCTGCTAGATGGGACGCTGCCCATGAATTGTTGAATAAAGCTAATTAGATCTTTCAAATTTATTCAGTTGAATTTTGTTTTCTTAATACTATTCAATTCAACCATAGACAATGTTCACAAATGTGCATGGCCATAGTTTGAGATCCCTGCTGTTGGCCATTACACATATACACACCAGAGTTGTGATAACTTGAATAATCGATTTAAAGTCATATTACTTTAAGCATTTTGGTTGCCCCCTTCATCTTACCTTCACAAAGTTTGCTGTTGAATAGTAAACCCACGGAATACAATTTGGGTCATTTGGTCCTGGACCAGACCTTTTAGGGACATTCCACCTGTAAGTTTTTATTTCTCCTGAAACAAATGAGAAGTAATAGAAAGAATTTACTAGTGTTACTTCTGGTCCAGATGTTTTACCTAAAGAAATAACAAACAGATCTTTATGTACTTTGGTTAATATTTATTACTGGGGAGAATTACTCATTCATTAGAAATGCTCCAATTAAACTCACATCTTGAGTTTCTCTATTCTCAAAATGGCAGATTTTTCATTTCAGACTATAGCTTTCTTTCTAATTTGCCCTATATATTATCAACTGATGTTTATTCAAGGCATAAAGACTTATTTTATTTTTCACTGTTTTTTCTCCTCAAATTCCATATCTCCCTCACAAGAGCTATGCTTGAACACACTTGAGTTACTGTAGGACTCAGCCTTGATTTCTGATTGAATCACCAGGGAGCTTTGTAAACTCTTAACTGCTGAGATCTCATTACAAACCAGTGAAATTAGAGTATCCGGGGCCTAGGACAAGGGCATCAGTATTTTTTTTTAAAGATTCTCAGGTGATTCTAATGTGCAGATAAGCAGGACCTATTTAGAACCAGAGAGAATCAGAGAGACTTAGTTACAAGTCTCAACCCTATCACTTCCTATTTATCTAACCTTTGACAAGCTACTTGACTTCATTGACCTTTAGTCTCCTTATTTGTAAAGTGGGTTAGTCATCCATTTTTCAGATTGTTGTGAAGTTTAAATAAAATTAAATGCCTAGGTTAGTGTCTCACATTGAAGGCAGTTAATAAATGTTTATTTGTATGTATACTAATAACAAACGTATGCCAGGGACTACATCTATGCATCCCCTGTGGCTGACCCAGAGCCTTGCAGAGAAGTAATAAATAAACTCACATAAATTAGCAAGATAATCACATTGTAAACGTCTCAAATAAAAACGACATTTAAATCATTATCTCCTTTTGAACTGTCTAGGTCCCATCCCCACCCCATCAGTACATACAACCTATAGCTGAATGTGAGCCACAAGGTTAAACAAAAATTATGCTTACATGAAACTGCTCCATATTTGCAAATACACCAGTAGGTTAGCAATATAATTTTAGGTCTGGTTTCCATTACCTTTCATAATAGCCCCCCTGCATTGTTAATTGTAAGATAAACAGCTGATATTTAGCTTCCTAAATGCAAATAGCTAAGGGGTGGTGTTATTAAAGTTGGAATGATTCATTGTTCGCCCCAGTGGGGGGTGCAGCTCTAAACAAAAGAGGATGTTCTGTGCATGTTTGTTGAGTGGCATCTTGAAGAAGAAGGAGGAGGAGAAATCTGAGAGGGGGCTGCTTACTTTTCTTAGGCACTAGTTTGCTTTCCTTATCTCAGGCATGCCTAGAATAACCATTCTTCTCCAATTTGCATGGATTTCGTGCACCAAATTAGTTTCTTGCTCCTACCCCTAATCTCTGGACTCTCCCAAGACTTTCAGGCTTGTCAGAGACCCTTATAGAATCAGAGAGGGATCCCTTATAGGGATTCTCCCCTCAGAGTTTCAGTGAGAAAAATGCTTCTCTGCCATGTTCTAATCATTCTCTCTAACCCCATAACCCCATCAAGGATGCTTAGAAGTCTAGTCAGCACAGAAGAGCTATGTCCCTTACTAGTCCTCACCATTAGGGCACAGCAGCCTGTGAGGGCTCACCCAGCAGGCCCAACAGCCCTATCAGACTGCCTACCCATGCCTGATTGGCACTTTTCTTCCTCCCTCCTGAGTTGCTTTTAACCATCAAAAATGAGTAATTTTAACTGCTTTTTTGACCCATTTAAAACCATCTCCCTCAGGGGTGCTTGGGTGGCTCAGGTGGCATTTGACTTTAGCTCAGGTCATGATCTCACAGTTCTTGGGTTCGAGCGCCACATCGGGCTCTGTGCTGAAAGCTCAGAGACTGCTTGGGATAATCGCTGTCTCCTCTCTCTCTGCCCTTCCCCCACTCGCACTTTCTCTCTCTCAAAATAAATAAACTTAACATAAATAAATAAATTAATTAATTAATTAAAACAATTGCCCTCTTCATAAAAGCAAGACATCCATTACAGAAAATGAAGAAAGTACAAACGTGAAGAAATAGAAAAGAGTATCAACCTAACTATTACTTAAAATACTACCCAAAATGTACAGCCATTATTAACATTTTGGCTTATTTCCTTTTTAACCTTTTTTCCATACTTGTATTTTGCTTAATATGATACCACAGGTTTTTCTCATGTCATTAAAACCTTCACATCCATTTAATGGCTGTGTAATAGTTCACTGTAAGGGGATTCCAAAATTTAAGTATCTCCCTATAGACAAACATTTAGAACATTCATGAGAGACTTCTTAAAGCAGTAAAACACAGGCTCCTGAATTGGGGAGTAGGGTGGGGTGCGGAGAGGCAGGAGAGTTTGGGATTGTGTCCAGTGAAGATTTCCTCCCCCCAACCCCATCCATGTAAGAGTATCTTGCTAACGTCTTCTGGTGATGCATCAGAGTGTTTTCTTTTCTTCCTTCTATGCATCTTTAATTTTTTCCAAGGCTTATATGACTTTTATTGTAATTACTATAGTATTTAGTATTATTCATATATATACATAAGTAAAGTGGCATATAATTCCCCTGTAATTACACCTATGATTGCTCTCAATTTCATAGCTGAAGGTCACAGAGGCTCTTAACATTTACTACAACCATATTCCAACTGTGCAAATGTATGGTTCTTTTAATTATGAGATCTTCTCTCCCTTCAATGCATATTTTAAAACTCAACTGGAGTTCTACCTATTTTATAAGGCTTTCTCTATTTTCTCTGAATCAATCAATCGATCTTCATGGATTTTCCTTCTCTGAAATTTTTATAAACACTCCCAGATACATTCTTGAAACTCTCCACCAGTTAGAATTTCATTATGTATAGTCTGCATTACTACTGAAATAATTCATCTTGCTTGTCTTGTTTTTCTTCCAAACTCATTTTAAGCATCGCAAAAGAAATATATGGTTAAGCGCATAGGTTCTGAAATCCAACAGATTGAGGTCCTGCCATTACTAATATATGACCTGGTCAAGCTCACCCCTCTGTGTTTTAGTCATCTGTTAAGTGGACGTGACAATAGCGTATTTCCTCAGTTACAGAATGAGCATTTTTCACATTTTCACATAACTGAAATCAAGATGCATCTTCAAATCAGTGGCACGTTAAAGTTTAATTGGCAGTGTGTTTTTTCTTTTTTTTAGTAACAGATCAAATAATGATGGATATTACAACCAATGGTATCAGAGTCCGTGACCTATGTTAGTGTCTACCTTGCTAGAAAATGAGATTATTAGTTTTTTTAAAAAACATATAAGGCACAGCACCTGGCCAAAGATGAACATTCAATACGTGTTAGCTATTATTATGTCTTACTACACTTTTAGGTCCCAAATGGAGCCCTAGAAACACCATAACCACTTGGTCATTAGATGAATGATGATTTCATACTGGGAGTGACTGGGTGATGGCTGGAACATATTGACACTAACATGAACTTTCCACGACCCTTCAAAGATCAGAAGAGAGTTGAGTCCAGTGTCCTTATCAGCATGGAGCAGATGTGTGGTGTAACTTACCTGGCTTTGTGATGGGCACTTGGAGTTGCTTCCCACTATCCATGTCTTCAATACCATGGGCTGAGATGGAGTAGGGCCGCTTAGCTTTGTTCTTAAATATGACCAGGATGGAGTCACCCACCTCGGCATGAACCATTGGGCCTAAAGGCAAAACACAGGCCTGTGTGCATTATCGTTGTTCTTTTCAACATTGATATAATATAAATGTAGATCGTATTTGGCAAAATAAAACAAAGGTTGCCTTCTTCATTAGTGCACTTCCTTTGGAAGGCAATATACGTAACATTAAATACTCATGTAGTATTTGGCAATTGGACCAACCTGGGTTCAAATCCTGCTTCCTTCACTTATTAGAGAGGTCTTGGGAAAGTTAAGTAACCTGCCTGACTCTCAATTTCCTCACCTACGAAATGGGTTTAATAACACCTATCGTAAGGATTAAATAAGATAATGTATGTAAAGCGCTTATCTCAGTGCACTGAAACACAGTAAGTACTCAATAAATAAATGCTGCCAATTTTACTACTGCTGAGACATAATCTCCAGGAAAAGCCATATCCACATGATATGGTGGCTTTTCAGTTGTATGTAACCTTTGGTAAGTCTGAAATCGCTCATTTTCTGGTAAATGGATATATTAATAACCACCACCATCATGAGGATCCAAAAAATATTGTGTATAAAAGGGATTTGAAAGACAAGAGCAAAATTAAAACATCCACGTGCTGATTTATGATCAATACAGTGATTTCATTAATGCACATCCAGTGCTGTGTCCCAGTGTTTGGATACCTTGAGGAGATGTGTGCTCCTCAGCACTCATGCACACACATTTCTGTGAGAAGCAACCCTCCTGTGTGCCACTGGGAATCGGCCCACACCCTGCTGGACCAGCATGACCGTGGGATAGCCCTCGCCCATGCCGGGTGCTCCTCACCTCTCCGTGCCTCAACAGTGGCACAAATGCAGCTTGCTCAGTGCAGGCGCCCCCCTGACAGAGCACCAGACACACCGGGGTCATGTGACACTACTTCGAGAAGGATGGAACAGACTCCCATTTGGGAGTCACCTTAGACCTGGTCCTATGGTCCTGAGGGATTTATTTGCATTCTTGGGTGCCCATGGCAGTCTACATCATAGAAAGACACACTCATGGTAGGGAGTCTGAATATACCCATCCAGTCTTTACTGATGGTCACAATTGCTTTTCTGAGAAAGGCCACTGAAGTGTTAAATCAGCCTAAAATTTGTTGGACTGGGGTGCCTGGACGACTCAGTCAGTTAAGCCTCCAACTTCCACTCAGCTCATAATCTCGTGGTCTGTGGGTTCAAGCCGCACGTTGGGCTCTGCTGACAGCTCGGAGCCTGGAGCCTGTTTCAGATTCTGTGTCTCCCTCTCTCTCTGCCCCTCCCCCATTCATGCACTCTCCCTCGCTCTCTCTCTCTCAAAAATAAATAAACATTAAAAAAAATTTAAATCAAATTTGTTGGGCTATTATGATCTTTGGAGGCAAATACTGAGTATGAATCAGGAAGTGTATGAAAAAACGCTCTTTTATTTTTATGATAGAGCTAGAAAAGAATGCATGTTTTTAAACAGCATACTTGGGCATAGTTACAGGTAGGTGCACGTGCACGCATGTACTAAAATCCTTATTTGTGACTCATTGCCACTTCAATTGCACCTGCTTTGCTGTACTGGTAAGGGTGAATGTCTTCTGATTCGGGGCCTGATAGGTCCCAGGGAGTGGTAAGGAGCAAAGGTGTGCCTGTTGCCTGACCTGTGCCCTTTGGAACTTCAGGAGCACAGGCCTGTCCCTGAAAAATGCAGAAAATGAGTGGATGGGCCTTGTGCTCTCTTGAGGGGAAGTACCACTGGGCTTGCCTCTGACGGAGTCCCTCCTTTGTGTCATTTTACTGAGTAGACCCAAACCGGGGCTTTTTGAGGGGCAAACCACCCCACCCTTGGCAGGACCAGCACCTTTTTTTCTGGAGTTCATATGACAAACACAGCTCAAAAGAAGGAATGTTCCCACTGGGTTGACTCTTTCAGTGTGATAAGCTTGCATGTCAATGCAGGGAGGGTGCAGGGAAGGTGGATGGGGCATCTAATAATTTATCAAGCTAGCTGTCCTGGTGCCTTTTTGAATATTAAGAAGCACTGTGTAAACTCATATTATTTATACAAGTCACCTTGTGCATTTAAATATGGGAACAGAGGGGCGCTTGGGTGGCTCAGTTGGTTACGCATCCAACTTCAGCTCAGGTGGTGATCTCGAGGTGCCCTGTGTCGGGCCCTGTGCTGACAGCTCGGAGCCTGGAGCCTGCTTCGGATTCTGTGTCTCCCTCTCTCTCTGCCCCTCCCCCACTTGTGCTCTGTCTCTCTCTCTCTCTCTCTCTCTCGAAAATAAACATTAAAAAAATTTTTAAATAAAAAAATAAAAATGAGAACAGAAAAAAAAAAGGGAACGGATTTCAGAAAGTCATCTAGATTAGCCTTCTGCCTAAAGATCTCATATTCATGATGGGGTCAGGTTTGGTGACTCCCAGGTGAAAGTGAGGAAGGAAAGCAGGAAGGAGGAGCTTATCTGATCCCCAGGTCAGGCAGCCCAGGGTATCAGACAGGCACAGTAGGTTCTGAGATGGCCACATTCAGGGCCTCCTGAGCTCAAACCAGGCCTTCTACCCTTAGCACTCCTCTTATGCAAGGAGTTTCTCATTGGCTTGAATTATTTTCTTAATGTTTATTTATTTATTTTGAGAAAGAGAGAGGGAGAGAGAGAATCCCAAGTAGGCTCCGTGCTGTCAGCACAGAGCCTGACGCAGGGTTTGATCCCACAAACCATGAGATCATGACCTGAGCTGAGATCAAGAGTCAGACATTCAAATGACTGAGCCACCCAAGCGCCCTTTGCTGGAGTTGTGTTTATGGTGTGTTCGTATGGCCCTGTGCATAGATGATCCAGGCCCTTGAAGAAGCTATGCAAATACTCTGCTTGCTCATCTGAGGCATCACATTATTCCAATTAAAATGTCCTGGCTCAGCAGAGGGATGGGAAAGGAATTTCAGGGCAACAGATGCTGGTTAGACTGTTGACTATATGGACTCGTGTTTGCGTGTTATCTGGTTGACTCTCCTTTGAATGAGCTGAGTACAGAGCATGCTCCCTGACAATGGGAGGGCAGGAAGATGTCACACTTGGGTGAATGCACTCAGGCCACTCTGTCCCTGCTGTCCCTTCTCAGGTCTAAGTGTGACAGTGTATGTGTACATGTTCACGTGCCTTAGGGCTGGCAGCGCATGGCTGCGATCTGTGTCATACCCAGCAGTTCCAAATGCTTCTCTCGTGGCGGCCGGGCCTTGATCTCCACAAATTCCCCATCGGTGTATTCTCTGTAAACCACTTTCTTGTACTGAGAGCCAATCCAGTTTTCAGTGTGGTTCATAAATATATCTCCATGTCTATAAATCAGAAGCAGCAGAAATTAAAGTTGTCAGAAGGTAGAAAAACCTTTGGTGCTCCTGAGTGATTCAGGGGTACTCGGGAGCACAGTTTCCCATACCTGGCTGCCATCAGAATCTCCCAGTGGAGCTCAACTTTTGCACCAGGCTCTCTGGGAGTGGAGCCAGGAATCTGCATTTGAAAGCACCACAGGGGGTTCTGACTGGGGCAGGCCAGCACTGGCCCAGGTCTTACTTCTTGGGAACCATTGTTCCAAAGGGTGCTGAATGGGGGCCAGACTTAGTTGGAGACTCCTAAGGGCCCCTTGAGGTGGTACTCCTCTTCCTGGGACTAGCCAAGCTCACACACATGCATGTGTATGCACACATGCACATGCTCACACTCTACTACCCTGAATTCCTTCAGATTCCATTTATATCATTCCATACCTTGTTCTACTTTTCCACCTTAAAGATCTCAAGAAAGACTCTGGGTTGTATATTATGCACATACTCATATACAAATATAGGCATAGTTGATTCTTGGTATTCACAGGAGTCATGTTCTAGAAAGCCACTTTGAATACTGAAATAATGACACTAAACCATTGTCCCTAGGGGAAACATAGGCTACGTTTTGCAGGTGTTCAGAACGAAATGCCCCAAGACGTGCCATTTTGGCATGTGGATTATGTTGAGTTGAAAGCAATCAAGACCCAAAAGATGCAGGAAAAAGCTCTGACTTTCCCTCTAACTGCCCAGAAGAATTTAGGTAGAGGACCCACTCCCGGAAGGGGCTATTACAGAAGGTAACTATCTTATAATATGAACTAGGGGTGGGAGACAGAGAGGAATTTAGCAAAGTCTGTTAAAATTCTTCTCTCTGTCCCATTGTTTCTGAGTGGCCCAGTCAACATTTGTTTACCTAACATGTACTCTTTTTCATCTTCCTATGAATTGCTTTCCTTCTCTTTGAAGTCCCGGACCCCTACTTCCTTCTCCTTCCTTCAGAGTGACATATATATCTCCTTTGGCCTCACTGTCTTTGGAATCTCTCATGTCTATGTGGATTCTCCCTATGTAAGTAAATTTGATTCTCTCCTGTTCATCTGTCTCATGTCAATTTAATTTTTAGGCCAGCCAGAAGAATTTGAACGGTAGAGGAAAATCCACCTCCCCGGCAAAAAAGCTTCTTCAGACCTCTGGTCCCAATACTTTCATCAACAGATTGATAAATACCCTTGTTCTATGTGTGCTTCTGTTTCAAGACATCTTATTTAATATATACTGCTGATTCATTAACTTTGAACTCATGGCCACTAGCACTATAAGTCACACCTGAAGGCAGCTTATCCAACACATGTATTTCCTCTGTAAGACACATCGCAGCCTTCTTGCACTTACCCTGGGGGCCATTTTAAACAGCTAAGTCACCAAAGAAAAGCACACACACACACACACACACACACACACACACAGGCACTAAATAGACCACAAAGAGGATGCTTGTTTACAGTGTGAAAGCTGAAACAAGACAGTGAAGACAGAGGGATGTTTTGTTTGTTTGACCTCAGCTGGAAATGTGCACATTGGGAGACACAAACTCTTTGCTGCTTTATGCATACCTATGAAGGACCACAACAGCACCACAAAAATTGGTTTGGGTGTTACAAATAAATTTCAGTGACTAGGCAAATTTACAAATATGGAATCTGCAAACAATGAGGATCAACCATATATTTAATCCATCACCAAGATACATCATCACAAAAAGACAGAAAAAAAAATCTATCAGTTTTAGCTACAAAATAGAGAATGTCTCCCATCCTTCCATTTCCCTCTATTAAACTACCTGCACTCCAACCTAAGCCCGCTAGGTCACTTACCCGTATTAACTGGACTTGTTCTTAATCACGCTCCCTGCCACCCACGCTTTCCCCTTCCCTCCATCCTCTACTCTACACGCAGAGTGACCCTAACCTATAAATTCCACCAAGTGAGTCCTTGCGGAAAACCTGATGATGGCTTCCCACTGCCAAATTCCTCGAATTAGCTCTCACACCCCTTTGCTGTCCGCCTCTGCCAACCTCTCAGGCCTCGTTTCTCGTCACTGGCACCCACGCACTCTACGCTCCGGTCATCCTAAACATTCTCTCTTGAGCTCCACATGCCCTCCCCACCTCTGGGCCTTCCACGGGTTATTCCCTGTGCCAAGAACACTCTTGCCACCTCTTTGACTGGCCTATTCCTCAAGTCCCAGGACAAAGATTACTCCCTCCTTGACCACCTCTCTCCCTCTCTCCCCCAGGTGGGGCCATGTGCGCCTGCCGTGAGCTCCCCCTGTGCCCTGCACCTCTCCTCGCACAGTGATTGCCTCACTCAGGATGCTTGTTCTAATGTCTGCCCCACGAACCATGAAGTCTGTATGGGGAAGGACCTGGCCTGCCCTTATCAGCACTGTTTCACTCGTACTTTGTACAATGCCTAGCAGACAGCAGGTACTTAACAAAGGCACCTTTATCTTTGACCTAGACCATATGCTTTCCGAGGCAAGAGAATTTTTCTCCTACTTTTATTTTCCAGAAGTCCTAATAACACACGTGGTAGTGACAGAAATGCCTCTGGAGCCATAGCTTTACTGTTTCTCGGCTTTCCTCTTCTGCGGAGTGGGATGATAATAAGGCATTCGTCTCCCAGATTGCTGTGAGGATTATATGGGTTAGGATCTGTAAAGCGCTATGCCAGACACATACTGAGCACCAGGGAAGCGCATGCTCTATCACCATCTTGCTGGGAAGTCATGTGACATGCTGGGCCAAAGCTGAGCAAATGGGTCAAGTATACCCTAAGGGTCTTTATCAGATAGGGTTTGTAAAAACCCTAGCAAATGCCTGGCACATGGCGGGTGCTCAAGAAATGGCAGTCACTATCTCAAGTCCCAGGGTGGTTAAATTAAATGCGTATCAGTCCACAAGCTCACGAGTACTGGGAATACAAGGTTTTTTCTCTATAACAACTTAATCTCTGTTTTCGAATTCTCTCCCACTGCACAAACCCTGGCATTGTGCTGATGGTCCCATTGGTTGCTTTTCTGGGATCCCGAGGGCTTCTCAGTGCGTTCTTAGGAAGCTGTGGGAAAGACATCTGAGGCAGAGGGTCTGGGCTAACCCGGACAATAAATGTCTCAGGGATAACCCATACTGAGAGGTGGTTTGAAAGCTGGGTGTCTCCATGCCATGGCTTTGGCTCAACGAGCAGAGGCATAGCCACTGGGGGGCAGAAAGGACATTTGTCCCTGGGCTTCGATCCGCCGGGGTGCCACAGGCGTGCCACGACAGGAACCGGTCATTTCAATGTCTACTGAATTTTTATCTACAAATCTGTTGTACTTTGAATACGTGAACAAGCTCTCAATCGGCTTTGTTTTTAGTGATTTATGGGCAATATCCGGAGTGGCAGGGCAGGGTACCGACACACCCGACACACTTTATCTCTCTACGTCACCTGGAGACAATCCCGGAAGACTGAGACTAGAGCTTCCTGCCAGCCCAGAGAGATGGGGTCTGAAGACACAAATTACACTGAGTCTCAAGAAAGTCATGGAAGACGAAGAGTATAAGGGCTAAGAATATACACGCAAGGGGCGCCTGGGTGGCGCAGTCGGTTAAGCGTCCGACTTCAGCCAGGTCACGATCTCGCGGTCCGTGAGTTCGAGCCCCGCGTCAGGCTCTGGGCCGATGGCTCAGAGCCTGGAGCCTGTTTCCGATTCTGTGCTTCCCTCTCTCTCTGCCCCTCCCCCGTTCATGCTCTGTCTCTCTCTGTCCCCCAAAAAATAAATAAACGTTGAAAAAAAAAAATTAAAAAAAAAAAAAGAATATACACGCAATATACATACAACAGAGTTATCATACAACTATTTCTTCAGTTATAGCAGCCTTTTAGTAAAAATAATCACTTTAGAAAAGGCTGAATTACGATTCATTTCATTTTCCAATGCACCAGTATTAGTCTTTAGCTTGTATTGGCGGCACTGGTTTTGCAGGAGAGGAATGTCTGGTTTAATAAGTGGGTTGGTGAGTCGTGAAATACATTTTAAACCGTCCTGTCCCTGAGGCAAATCTTTTTTAAGTGGAGGAGGCATTTTGTTTCTTCATTTATCCATGAGGTGATGCTGTTACACTCTCTTTTCCGGGTGTCTAAACCCTCAAAACAGGCCAACAAGTAAGACGAGAAAAAAGACATGTTAAGATTAGGAACATTTGGGCATAGAGGAGTCCGTGTGTCACACGACTAAAGAGAATTAGTATGGGGGAGGGGGTCTGATAATAAACAACAAAGAGGAACAAAGGCATGGAAATTAACATGCTTGGTGGTGAGAACACAGATTGGTCTTTGTTCAATTCCAGTGTCAATGACTAGGGGTGAGTCTTACCTCTGTGCCCTGAGTCTCCTGGTCTGTATATGGGGACAGGGAATAAATAACCTAAGCAGCAAGTTGTTTAGTGGAGGGTACGAACTTTGGGGTGGAGTCTGCAGGTCAGTGCCCAGCAGATGCCTCTATACCTTCCATGACTCTACCCCAGTACATCCCAGTGGGAAGTGAAGGATACTTAGGGTGGGTGGGGGGCCAGGGCTCACAGCCTTGCCGACTCTTTGGTGTTCAGCTTCGGCAGACAGTGCTCTCACGGGAAGGTCGGTCTTGGGGACCTTCTGGGTACAGGGCCTAGTAGAGAGACCAGCTCCTCCCTCCCCCAGTCCCAGGATCTCTGCCAAGGCAATGCCTCGGACCCACTCCCCATCCAGATGGATGCTCTTTCCCCACGCTCCTCAATCTAGAGCAGCCCATCTGCTCACCCCACTGCGCACCCGCCTCTGCCTCCCTCCCTCCCTCCCATTTCGTCTTCACAGTCCCACGTCACTGGGATCTGCCTCTTTCCCTAAGGCCTTCTTTCACGCTAGGCGCTCTCTCAAAGGCACATGCATTCTTGGGACAGCCATGCTTGCAACCGGCACCGCACCGTGGGTGGGGATGCACGGAGCCTGCGGGGGTGGGGATGGGGGTGCAAATGACTTCCTTCAGACTCCCCTCCCGGGATGAGGCCCTGGCAGCTTCCCTCCTCTTTTGTGCCCCTAGTAAAAGCCGCTGTCTGCCAAAATAGTGCAGACCGAAGCAGGGCGTGTTCAGGTTTTCACATTTGCTAAACGTCTACAGAGTGTGTGCAATCCCACCCAAGAGACGTGACGGCTTCGCCCGTGGTACCTTTCCCCTCCTGCGTCCGCGTGCTGCTTTTCGAACTCCCAGTTTTTGTTAGGGGCATAATCCCATTCTACCTCTTCAGCGGCGATGTAAAAGGTTCTTATCATCCCGTACGGCTGCTCAGAAGGGTCCTTGTTGCCACAGCTGTTGACCTCATATATCTGATTCATGCCTCTCACGAAGTGGTGCAAGGTGGAGCAAAACACCCTGAAAATACCTGAAACAGAAATCGCTTGGCGTTGTGTGCGGCGCTCCATGCTTTCGATTTCGGTTCGCTCACAAGCTACAGCATTTTATTCCCAAATAAATAAATGGTAAGGTGGATTCTTAAAATATCAATTTTATATGGTATTTTAAAGCCAGACTCCAAGGGGGAATAAAGTACGTTGAATATATTTACTTACCAGGGGAAAGATACCATCTGAAATTCATTGGTAATGGAAAATTAAAACTTGCAAAGTTGCTACCGAGAAATGATTTCTCTGGGTCTTCCCTATTGTATACACCTGTTAGAAGATAGTTGCCCCTGGAAAATCACTGATGGGTACGATTATCTTAGCCTGGTCCAGTTTAAAATGAACTAATAACCTGTATCATTAATATTCTAAACAAAGTTCAAATAGGGGCACATTTCTGAAATCATGTATTATGCCCTAAAATATTTCATAAACTATATACAGTGCAATATACAGGTAAGGTACTATTATTAAAGCCAGGTGTATTATTACTTCGTTAGGCCTTTGAGCAAAGGAGGTTCTCATTACCAATGGCAGGTCTACATTATGCCAGACGAAAAGAAAAAAAAAATCAGCCAGATTGCCCTACATGATGCCAACAAGCATGTCTGAGAATTGTGTAACTTTATAAACTGAATTTTCTAGATTGGCATCAGGTAGATACATCTTAATTGAACTCACCATAAAATCATATGAAACAAAAATATTGGAAGATATTAACTGTCAGTGGGATTGCTGCATCAATAAACCTTCCCTTCCTTTGGTAGACACTGTTCTTAGAGGCGAGTGATCAGGGATTAGTTTCATTAATCACCCCTTGAGGATGAGCAAAACCCATTGGTTCAGTGGGTACTCAAGCCCCCCAGCACTGACGAGGACCTCATGAGGAAGGGTCTTTGGGAAACCACACAGAAGACGCTCTGAAGGTAGACATGGGAAGAGCTCCCTCTGCACGTGTTGTTTGGCAGGCAGCCTGCTATTCATGTGTTCATTATGTTCTTCACTAGCCGAGGAATTATCTTCTCTAAGAACAAAGAGGAATTGAAGGCCGTGGTTGTGGCGATGGTTTCACAGATGTATATATACTTACCTCCCGCCCCATTAATCTGTTTTTTTTTATGCATAAATATATGTTTCTTTTATTTTTTATCATTTTACTTATTTTTCATCCCTTCTCGTAACCATCAGTTTGCTCTCTGTAGTTAAGAATCTGTTTCTTGGTTTGTCCCTCTCTCTCTCTCTCTCTCTTTTCCTTTTCTTTACTTCCTTTGCTCATTTGTTTTCTTTTTTTATTATTATTATTTTTTACATTTATTCATTTTTGAGAGATAGCGAGAGACAGAGCACAAGCGGGGGAGGGGCAGAGAGAGAGGGAGACACAGAATCCAAAGCAGGTTCCAGGCTCTGAGTTGTCAGCACAGAGCCTGACATGGGGCTCGAACTCACAATCCGTGAGATCATGACCTGAGCCGAAGTCAGACGTTTAACCGAACGACCCAGGAACCCCTTTATTTGTTCTGTTTTTTAAGTTCCACATATGAGTGAAATCACATGGTATTTGTCTTTCTCTGACTTATTTCTCTTAGCCTTATATTGTCTAGTTCCATCCTTGTTGTTACAGATGATAAGATTTCATTCTTTTTATGGCTGACTAATATTCCATTGTACATATATACCACATCTTCTTTATATATTCATCTTTTCATAAACACCTGGGCTGCTTCCATAGTTTGGCTGTTGTAAATAATGCTGCAATAAACATCAGGGTGCATGTATCCCGTTGAATTGTGTGTTTTGTGGGGGGGGGGGGGGGG